CTGAAGAAATTTTTTTCAGGGAGGGACAAAGTTTTTTTTTTCGGGGGGTAAATTAGTGTGAAATTGTGAATTGAATAAAAAAAATCATATACATATGCTGAATGAATAAAGAAAGAATTATGTTTCTCATTTTCCGTGGCGGGTGGGTGCAAGTGCCCCCTCTCACCTCCCACTGCGGATGCCCATGCTTATTTGTGTCTAGAAGACAGCTTTGTGAGGATAGTACGTTACTCATCTTTTTGATGTTCTGATTCAGTTGTTTTGAGACAATATACTTACAAGGATTTAAGTTTTGTGGTGTAATTTTTTGATATATATGTATACAGATCCATCTCTTGGAAGGTGGTGAGGTTCATATCTTTAGCAGAAATCAAGAAAACAACACATCTAAATATCCAGATATAATCTCTAGAATCCCCAAAGTCTTAAAACCTTCCACCAAATCCTTCATCCTGGATTCTGAAGCTGTTGCCTGGGACCAAGAAAATAAACAAATTTTACCATTCCAGGTATTGAGCACGAGGAAGAGAAAGGTATTTAGAATTGTTTTTTATCTAGGTGTAGTGATTGGTAATCTTTTAGTCTTGAACTTTGTGTATTATTTGTACAGATTATCAGCGCATATATACGTAGTTGTAAAAATTAAAGAACTCAAATGGAGAAATTAGTACATAAACTAAGTAAACTTCAGTCTTAGCTAACTGATGGATAACAATCTCTTGTAACTCTTTGTACGCAATCTTAAAGCTTAGACCTGAGCCTAAAAATGGAGCAATTAGTACATAAACTAAGTAAACTTCAGTCTTAGCTAACTAATGGATAACAATTTCTTGTAACTCTTTGTACGCAATCTTAAAGCTTAGACCTGAGCCTAAAAATGGAGCAATTAGTACATAAACTAAGTAAACTTCAGTCTTAGCTAACTAATGGATAACAATCTCTTGTAACTCTTTGTACGCAATCTTAAAGCTTAGACCTGAGCCTAAAAATGGAGCAATTAGTACATAAACTAAGTAAACATCAGTCTTAGCTAACTAATGGATAACAATTTCTTGTAACTCTTTGTACGCAATCTTAAAGCTTAGACCTGAGCCTAAAAAGGTTGTGGTGACTGAGAAACCTCCAAGATGTTTCTTAGGAGAACGCAATCTTAAATAAATGAGATTAGATAGTATTTGTTATCATATTCCACACTTTTTTTTTATGATCGTCAAATCTAATGCCCTGACGTTAATATTGCTCTAGTAATCCCTGGTCATTACTGAAATTTTGCAAACACTACCGCTCGAGTTATTTTTATGAGTTAAGGTTTTGCAGTATTTTAACCCTTTCCAGCCCAGTGGCAGAATATTTCCGTTTCTAGATGTGCTTTCATAAAAATATTAATAAATGTTGTCAAGTCTGAAAAAAAAAACCAAGTTCGGACATAAAGCATGATATTCGTCGAACGTTTCTGAACCTAAGTTAGATTTTGTTGGTAAATGTACAATTTCTAATGAAATAAAACCACTAAATAACATAGCTAATTATTGTGGTGTTAAACAGTATGCCTATAGCTGCTGACCTGATAGATTTTACATGTTTATTATCAGTCATAAATCTAATGAGGTCACATGTTAGCCCACTTTGTTGAAAGGCCACTGTAAGACTCCATTAGTTTATAAATTACTAGCAGAAGTTTTTGTAAAGCAAATATCAACTGCCATAGTTAATAACAAGGAACCAATAACATAATTAATTTATTTCTTTTACTCAGTGTGTATAAAATTAAAACCATGATATAGATAGTTATGTGATAAAGAAAGGCTTCTGATGTACTAAGTAACAGTTAGAAATTTACAATCCATTTAAGGGAAAAAGTGAGTTGTACGGCAAAACATATTTATAGGCAGTTTTAGTAAGCTTCATTTTGGAATATAAGCTTGAAACCAACACTTATATTTATGTTTTTTTTCTGCTACTGTACAAGTGATTTTACTGTTTAATTTTAACAATATTAATTATGTGGTTTATTTAGTTTGTGAGTGTCAATTTAATTTATGTTTTTGGATTAATAATCTTTTTTATATATGTGTATATGTTCTTAATACTTGTAAGGTAATTAGATAATTTAGTTGTCCTTGCTCTGTCTTGGAAAAACTTGCAAGCAACAGGAGCAAATTTTTAAGAAATGATTTTTTTTTTCTTTTAAGATGTGAAGTTTGGAAAGAAATCCAAGACTTTTGTAATTTCTGAAGTCTATCCAAGTCACATTCTGGAACAATGGAAATAAAAATATGTTATTAATTGTATTACCATGGTGGTCATTGTGTTACCATGGTGGTCATGTTCGATAATTGTGTTACCATGGTGGTCATGTTCGATAATTGTGTTACCATGGTGGTCATGTTCGATAATTGTGTTACCATGGTGGTCATGTTCGATAATTGTGTTACCATGGTGGTCATGTTCGATAATTGTGTTACCATGGTGGGCATGTTCGATCAGATGAAAATAGGTGTTCCAAAACATACATACCTTTGCTGACACTAATAGCTATTTCTCGATCTTCATCTTTGCCATCTAACGTTGTGTTCGCTTGCTCCAGTCTTTATGTACCCCACTCGACTGCCCTTGGCAATATCTAATTTGCAAAACTTTACGTCCGTCCTCACACGTCCTCTATGCAGGTACTGTATATAAGCACTGTATGCAGACAATAAAATCACTTTTTCTCGACAAAGCGTGAGCATTCAGACTAATGTTTATGATTTACGTTTTCATAGATTTCACTTTCTAATAATCGGGAATTCTTTGTTTTTTATCTAGAGATATATTTCGTTGAATTTGTTTTTTATTGTTTTCCTACAAATATATTATGGGGAAAAAAGATATGAATTCCAGTGTAACGGTTTCAAGCATGAAGGCTACTCAGTTTTCGTCTATTCTCCTTATCTAGTAGTGGTCAGCAGTCGGGGGGGAGCCACTCTTCGTGGAAGCTGTCCATGACCTGATTTGGGGTGGGATCGAGTCCTTCATGCGGCCCAGGGGTATCTCTCTGGGAGGTGCTGATTTGAAGTTTCATTCTGAAATGGGATATTCTGGGGAGAATTTAGAATCTGTTTCCTGCTCCTTCTTTCACTAGAGCTTCCTCTCTGGAGGACTCATCTGATCAGCCACCTTCTGTCCCTTTTTTCTTCAGTAAGTTACATGTGTTTGTGAAGTTTTGGAAATTAAACCAGTTGCTTTTGAGTCTACCCTACTCAGTCCGATCATTCTCAAAGGGATTACTTTCCTCCTTCTCCTGATATTGCTGTGCATGCAGGGAGGTTTGCAACACAATTACATTAGGGTGTCACTATGCCCCCCTCCCCTCATTGTTTATTTGAACAACATGCCCTGGCGTATCATCGTCAGGATGATATATATTTAGACATTCAAAGGTTGGATCTATGGGGTGCCAGGTACAAAATTGTCATTTCTCTTAACAGGTCATAATTTTCATGGATTTGTTTGACTCTTTCTACTGTTTTAAGATACTTCTCTTCCCTTCAACTTTTGTCCGAAGCATATCACCAATCACCTCAACGATTTGACGACAAACTGGTCCATTTATTGGTCACTGTTGTGACACTTTTGTCCTTTTCAGGACTTGCCTTAGTGTCATGGTTGGTCTGTTGCTGGGACGTGTTGAGTCGTGATGCATTTTGGAGGGTATTCACTTACCTTCTTTCTGCCCTTCGAGATTTACGGGATGCTCTTTTCCTTCAGCCTTATTTGTTTGCTGGAATTCAAGAATCCAGTTGATACAGCACATTTGCAGTCATCTTTATCGTCTTTGACTGCTCGACCCTATTCTACTTCCACTTGTACTTCTGCATGTTCATCCACTCATGTCTCAAGACCCCCTCCTTCCACTCCTCGTTCCATTGGTTCTCTTAATCATTTCCATCCTTCTTCTTGGGAGTTACTTTGCAGGCCAGTAGATGGACTTCTCCCGACACATTCATATCTCATTACCTTCATGGTCTGGCAGTTTCCTCTTTGAAGGGGCCTCATCTTCCCCCTGTGGCTGTGTTGACTACCTCTATTGGATTTTAACAGGGTGATCAGTAGCGTGTTATCTGACTTACAGTTATTCTTTCTTTCTTTTCTAGGGTCCCTCTTGATTTTTTTGGATCCCACCCAGTAGTGAGTGTTGGCCAGTCAGGTATGCTTGTATCTAAATTCCACACTAGCAACCGTTATATCAGTTCCGGGTTGCAGTGGGCTCTGTTGAGGTGAGGTGTTCCATAAGACCATCTGGACACAATTCTGGATGGTGATATCATATTACAATATTTCTAATGGGCCGCTACTCATGGACTATCATGAGTAAAGCTAATGGGGATTTTGCCAGTCCCTGCTGATCTTAGAACTGAATCAGTCGAGATCAGTTTGCTTTTAAAAATTAGAGAACGTGGTTCACCTGTTTCACTGTCTCCGGAGAATTGTTCCTAAGGACTCCCAAACGCATTTGTTCACCTCTTACTTCTACTGGTTGAGTTTGGGAGTCCTTACCACACCCAGTTCCCAGTCGCTAGGGTGGTGGATAGAGGATTTACCTTCAGAGTGTTGTGTTTTCTCCACTCTCGGAGAAGAGGGCAAAGTTGGGGACCCTCCTACGTGGGTCCCTGGAAGTTTTCCCAGATGTCAGTAGGACCAACCTATGTTGGAGCCTACTCATAAAACCAGTCCAGATTTGATGCTTAGCTATCCAGTGGGGGGTGCTTGGACCCTCTTATGAACACTGTCAGGTCTTATGTTGCTCATGAAAGGGGTTCACTATCTCCTCATAAATCTGAACGTGATGCGGCCCCATCTGTGGTCCTTGGTGGGACAATGTTCCACATCCTCTCCTTAATTCCATGGGTAAGCATAATTCTCCTTGCCCATTTGGTGGGGGAGTAAAGACATCTGTTTGTAAATTCAGACAGGATGAGTTCTGGACTTTGGTGGAGTGTGGCATATGATCCCGTCAATCCAGACCTGTGATGTTGCCTTTTGGACTTCTTCAGGTTGATCAGAAGGATTGTCCGTTTTGGTTTTGCTTGCTTTCTTTCATAAATTCGGTGTTTCGAAATGCATCATTCTGTGGTTACTGGTAAGGATCCTGTCACAAATGTATATATATCTGCAGTGCAACTGCCCTGGCCATCATCGTGGGATATGGATACCATGACCCCCTTAAATCCAACCCGAGTTGTGGAACCTCGGCTGTTTGGTCGGGGCTGGACCATCATACTTGTATTGTATTCCACCCTTTTCAATTTTCTATTGTTCTGGGTGAAGAGCATACCTGTTCTGGATGTAGTGTGGTATTCCCCAATTTGATACCACTTCTCGTGGTACATATTTGTTCTCTGCAGATGCTTTCTTTATGATCTGTGTCCTCATCGGCCCCTCCACTTTCTCAATGTGCGATTCTAGCTATTAGTGTCAGCAGAGGTATGTATGTTCTAGAAGTTATCATTTTCCTAAATTGAAAATGTATTTCCAAACATACTTACCTCTGCTGACACACTCCCTCCTTTCCTCCCCACAAAGGGTTGGTGTTAGTGACCGGAATGTGTTAAGTCTCGAAAAAGTGATTTTATTGTCTACATACAGTGCTTATATATAGTACCGCATAGAGGGCATGTGAGGCCCAGCATAAAGTTTTGCAAATTAGATATTGCCGAGGGCAGTCAAGTGAGGTATATAAAGACTGGAGCAAGTGAACACAACGTTAGATGGCAAAGATGAAGATCGAGAAATAGCTATTAGTGTCAGTGGAGGTAAGTATGTTTGGAAATACATTTTCAGTTTAGGAAAATGATAACTTGTCATTTAAGATTTAAACCTAAGCTGTTGGGTTAGTTCTAAGCACACATCATAGTTTATATGTTTTATTAGTATATTCAGAGTTAACACAGGTAGGAAGATTGATGCATAAGTAGGATCATTTAGGAGAGAGAGAGAGTGTAAAATTGTAAAACATTACATTTCTAGGATGCCAGTGAGAATGAAATAAAAGTCCAAGTTTGTATCTTTGCTTTCGACCTGCTGTATCTTAATGGTGAATCTTTAGTTAAAAAGCCATTAAGATATAGACAAGAGAAACTAAGAGAGGCTGTAGAAGAAATTGAAGGACAGTTTATGTTTGCTCGTTCAGAAGCTGTCATTACTACCGAGGAAGTGCAGGAGATTTTAGAAGAATCAATTAAAGGTCTGTAGGAAGTTTTATTATGTTTTTTGTCAAGATACAATAGTGACCTTCAAAGTTCTTATGATTAAAGTTTCATTATAATGCCTTGTTACTTTAGGCTGTAACTAAAAGAGATGTATGCCACTTGACCTGTAATGTACAAAGTTTGGCCATGGTTTCAGGAACACTTGATTAAAAATTTTGTTTAGATGAAGCTCATAGTGAAAAGTTTTAGTTATGATGAATTTCTGATTGTACAGAATAGGTTACTTTTAAAGTACTGAAACTTGAATTAATGTTATGCACACCAATTTGAAGAAGTAATCAGGAATTCTTGTATCAACTTGAACAGGGGTCATCAACTCGCAGCTTTTTAGCTGCATACATAATTACATGTGGCTCTTTTTAAATACTCCCCCCCGAAAAATAAAAAAGCATAAATTCTCATTTGTCAGAATAAAAACAAATTGACTCAATTAGGCATACATTTTATATTCAAATTCCAAAGCCTTTATTGCCAGCAAAACAACTGTCGACCATTTTAGAATTTAAATGTGAAATGTAAGTGGATATGCCGACACCTCATTAGGTAGTTGGAATTTCAGTGTGATATTAGGCCAGCAGTTAGGGCATGTTGAAGCTCTCAAAATGTTTTTATCTTAGACAAAAACAAAATAAATGGCTTTTATTTTTTAAATGGTTGCTGACTACTAGAATGTTTCATTATTGAATTAGTGTGATTTATTGGTATCATTCAAGTCATATTTGTTCTAAAGAAAAAAATACAAGTAAGCACTTGAGTAGAAGAAAATAGTCTTAAGTTCTCGAAAGAAGATAGCTTAGTTTTTCATAAGAAATAATACCTACATATGGTCCCAAGAGCAATGGTAGATATAACTTTACAAAAATGTCATGCTGTTGTCTTTTTACTCATACATTCAGTTACTGCTAATATATTTGCCTGATGCTGTTTGCTGCTTTTGGTGATATTTTATAGTTAATATGTAGTTTTTAATAATTTTTGTTTGTTGTTAATACATAGAACACTGATAATTTGAGGTTAAGTTTGTGTGTTTGGGAAAAGTCTTTTGTTTAATACACATATTACAATTTTATAGCCTGATTTGGGCATAATATTTTCTTTTAAAATTTTTTTGACTATAGGTAATTAGCCTGGGTGTATTGATTTAACTGAACTTTAGTGAGAAAGAATTAAATTTTGACACTTTTAAGAATTTTTATTAACGAAACATTTTGATTAAAATTTTGCAATAAAACACTTAATAATTAATATGCACATGGAACATTAATTTATTATTTAATTTGAAATTTATATGGTAAAGATAAGGAGGTATTTGCAACTTTGTATCCCCCCCCCCCCACAAGAAGATTAATGAAACCTAGTTGTTTTTGTGATTTGTATAGTTTCCTTTCCTTGACAACTTGATCTGTTTAGCTTTCTTTCTTTCTACTTTTATTAGTTATTCAGTATTTTGTGTTATTTATGTATTACTTCAAAAACTATTTTTAGGCTAGTTTGTGTTTTATTTGTCCTGGATAACTAGCATTATCTTATTATCTTTTTTGTTGTGGTAAGTCTCACTTTTTACCCAAAACGTTTGTCACCAGTTTTAATTTATACGTGTGTGGTGATAGTTGTAGTTTCTTTTACTGATGCACTGAATGATTTAAAAATTTTTTGCCTGTTGAAAAATGTTTAGTCTTTTTTGTTATCGAAGTCCTGTAACCTTCTCTTTTTAGGAAATTGTGAAGGGTTGATGGTAAAAACACTGGATGAAGAAGCTACTTATGAAATTGCTAAACGTTCACACAACTGGTTGAAGGTGAGAGTAGTGTTAGCTTATTTTAATATTAAAGAAGCTATACATATGGGACACAGAATGATATATACTGAGTGAAGAATGTAAAATTAATTCTCTCATATTGCCATCATAATTAATTGATAGGCAAAACACTATTAACCACTGTTCTTCTTATCTGCATAAAAGCTATATTTTAGTTGTTTTCTTTGTTAAGACTTGATTAATTATATACATATATAGTACATATAATAAGCCAAAATGCTTATTTTGATATTTCTACATTTCTGTTTTCTCTGTGACAACAGCTGAAGAAGGATTACCTGGAAGGTGTTGGTGATTCTCTTGACCTAGTGGTAATTGGAGCATACCATGGTAAGGGTAAACGAACAGGAACTTATGGAGGTTATCTATTGGCCTGTTATGATGCAGAAAATGAAGAGTTTCAGAGTATATGTAAAGTAAGTTGAACATTTGATTGAAAGAGGTTTATTTGTAAATATGTGTCTGTTCTGTAATAATCCTTAAGTAGTAAAGTATTTCTATCTTCTTAGATTGGTACAGGCTTCAAGGATGAAGAGTTGGAGACCCATGCCAACTTCCTGAAGCAGCATGTCATTGATAAACCAAAGTCCTACTACAGGTACGATGGAAGTCTTCAGGTGGAGGTATGGTTCGAACCAGTTCAGGTGTGGGAAGTAAGATGTGCAGATTTGTCAGTATCTCCTGTTCACAAGGCAGCCATTGGAATCGTAAGTAAACACATGTAGCATCATCGGTTGTTTTTGGTTAAAGTGCATCTAATAAACGAGGCTTAGCACTAAAGGCACACGAGAGCAACATTTTTTTCCTATTACTGTAATTTCTTGTAAGTACTAGAAATCATTGTTTTTCTATGTAATTTTCATTTATTGTTCAAGTTTTAGGAAAAATAACTAAAATTTAAGCATTTATGAGTAAATATACAGAGACATCTCAAAAGTGAATAGACAACATGATGTTTATTCAATAGTCATTTAATTAAGAAAGGCATCGAACGGCTCCCATGGCCAAGTCAGTCACCTGATGTGAACCCCATCGAGCATGTCTGGGGCTATACCTGCTCGAGCAGTGAGAAGAAGTTCCAGAAAACCAGCATCCCGTGGAGAGCTACTTGATGTTTTGCGTGCAGCCTGGGTCAAGATCCTACAGGAGAAAATTGCAGAACTCAACGATTCCATGCCAGAATGAGTCAAAGCACTGAAAAATACTAGTGGCAAATCGACTAAGTACTGATACACATTTGTAAACATTTTTGTCAAGTTGATAATGTGAGATAAATAACTATTGAAAAAAATCATGGTGTCTATTTACTTTTGAGATGTCTCTGTATATGTAATGTACGGTAGCAGAAATATCGGTGTAGTTTGTAAAATATTGGTAATACAGTTAGATTTGTACTTTGTATTTGATTCTGTACCTAGTTTCTATATATATTGTAAATGATTATTACTTACATCAAGATAAGAGTCAGTAACAAAGCAAGATGTTTCACAACTGTAAGGGAACTTCTAAACTACACTTTAGCTGCAAAAGTAAAATGGTTTCCCAAAGAAGACTATACTTATAAGACTTGCAAAACTAAATGAGTGTGATAAGTAGTACCGAAACGCAACTACAGTTTTAAATTGGTTGACAAATAAGTGCTGAAAAGGGAAATAGGATTTTATAAGCATGTGCTCAAATAACACCTATGCTGCTAAATTCCAAACACACCAAAAGGATTACCAATATTAAAAGAATTGTAATGTTTATTGTATCGGCACCAAACCACATAATAAATGATGTGACAAGTTCAAAGTGCAGTGTTGTTACTCTCGAAAAGTCTTATTGTGAACACTGTAGGATACATATGCCGATAAATTACACATTCTGTTGTCGGTATAAGTGTCTTCACTGATTCTAAGGGGATTGTGATTACATAATCTGATATATTAGACATCCTGTTCTCTAAGCAGGGGTTGAGTCGACTATCTTTTTGTGTGTGCTTTGTTGCTTTCAGGAATATCGTATTATGGTGGTGTCACGTAAACAGTCTACTGACAGAAGTGGTGATTTATTGGTTTATTTTCAGCGGGATTCTACTTTAGTCATTGACAGTACAATAAACACAGAAAATAAATGTAAAATGTGTTTAGCAGTTCGAACTCGTAAAAGAAATACTGTGAAAAACTTTGTGACCAGTAATAACGATAAAAAGGCACATCTGCTCCTTTTATTTCTAACTTTACAACTTGTCTTTTCATTATACTTTTGGGATTTGTCTACTGGCTGAAAACTCAAGTATATCATTAAATATCTGATAAGATATAGTTTTACCGAAAACAAATGTTTGAAATGTATTTAGGAGATTTTAAAGATTATACAAAAGAAATTTGAGATGAAAATCACTTCCACTCGGACTAGTAAAGAAACGGACTATATATTTTCACAAACAAATTTTTAGTAAAAATACTTCATTAAAGAATTTGATTTTTTTGTGTACAAAAGACTTGTTATCTTTACTAAAGGTATACCAAATTTTGTGAAAATGCAACATACTGAATTAAAAGCTATAGTATAAATACTTAACATGTGCAAACGTGTATACGAACTTGTGTATATTATACCGAGCCCATTGCGAAAGGCTTAAAAAACATTTAAAAATAATACAGTAAGAATTACTTTAATTATTGATTGAATTTTTGTTCTACGATATTTAGAAAGGTATACTCTAGTTTTACAGTTTCCTTGCTGTCTTAATGAAAATGTGAATTAACTAATAAAACTTTACTATCATAAAAAAATTTTCTACATTTTTGTCTTATCATTTTAAACCAATTCATTTTTGCAAAATCTACAAAGTAAAGTTCTTATAAAAAGTTTTAAATTGTAACGTTATTTTTTTAACAAAAAATAACGAAGAAAACTGACAATTTAAAAAAAAGTACTTACAAAGTGATGTAATTTTACTTGCATAGGTTGATCCCGAGAAGGGAATATCCCTCAGGTTTCCCAGGTTTCTGAAGATACGAGATGACAAAAACCCTGAAGATGCAACTTCTGCTTCTCAGGTAAAGAGAGTTAACTTATACTTGGTGGTTGATTCAAAAAAGTTATTTTAGGTTGTTGATTACAGTAAATATTTGATATTTTTGGTTGTTGATTACAGTAAATATTTGAGTACCCGTTTGCACCGCTTTGTGGCCTCCTCCTTCCAGTATTGTCGTTGTACATCCATAAAAGTTGTAAAAGCTCTAGGCAGAGTAGATATAGTAGACGTGAAAACTTTAATGGACTGCCACTGCCCACTGAAAGAAAAGATGACTATGTTTCGGCTTCTATATTAGAGCCAAAATGTCGTCTCCTTTTCTTTCAACAGGCAGTTGCAGTCCGTTAAAGTCTTCAAATCTTGTAAAAACTCAGCTGATTTATCGTTAAAAGCTAAATAATAAGATACTAGGTGTTTTATATAAACGAAAACTGTAAAGTTACATTAGGGTTAGTAACTGATCTATTCTTAAAAGTATGCATATATAAGCACTGCTTAAAGTTTAGGAGGATTATTAACTGTAAAAATTTAACAAGTTTTGGAAAGGTTTTTATTTTTTTCAACCGTTAAATTTAAGAATTCAATATGGTAATAATTTTGGGCTAGGATCAGAGATAAAAGAAATCCTTTCTTAATTTTATGGCTATATAGTTAAATATCTAACTGGATAGAACTGTTTAGGAAATATTTACAATTTTGTTGTCAAGTAATACCAACCATAAATATTTATATGAAAAACATTGTACTCCGGAGTTGGAGCATTAAGAATGTTTGGAGTATTTATATGAAAAACATTCTACTCCGGAGTTGGAGCATTAGGAATGTTTGGAGTATTTTTTATAATACTGTAAACCTTAAATGAAAAATAAATTAATATTTATCCCAGGGACCGACCTCTTAACTATTTTGTGCTTGTTAAAGTTTTCATACTATAACTTTTAATACAGTATGGGTGTATCTTTACAAAATTTTCAGGGCAAAATTTACAAGGCTTTTGTAAACAAAATATCAGATTTTTAATTATGCTTTAAGACTTTTTAATTAAAGATTTGCTTGTGCATTTTTTTTTAATATTAACTATCCTACATGCAAAGTAATTTTGATTTTAAGATCACAAATACCTTTATGCATCAGAAAATTGTCAAATTTCATTTGCAAAATCTCTATAACCTCCTTATAAAATTCAGATAAATATCAAACTTTTTATCTGTTGTTTTCTCTGTATGGGTTTGGTCAAATTGACTGACTTCATAACCACCATAAAAAATTTGGAAGTAAGGTTTAAGTTATGCTTTTTTGTTATAGAATGGCCACAGATTGTAACATGAAACCACAAATGTTTATTCTAAATAGCTTAAATCTCATAACATTGTACATCTCTTTATATTTATTATTTTATTAACCTTTCAGCTGTGTTTGACTAACATTACAGAAGTTGCAATCATGGCACACGTGCATCTCATGTTACCTTATCCAATAGCTTAAGACATTTTACCAATACTTTTATTTTAAGGATGTTATATAAAACATTACTTATGTGGTTACTCGTCAAAAGTTGGCTCTTTGATGGATCACAAGACCTTGTAGAAAGGTGTGAAATAGCTGGTTATTTATTAAAAGTTGGCTCTTTGCATCACAAGGCCTTGTAGAAAGGTGTAAAATAGCTGGTTATTTATTGAAAGTTGGCTCATTGATGGATCAGAAGTCCTTGTAGAAAGGTGTGAAATAGCTGGTTATTTATTAAAAGTTGGCTCTTTGCATCACAAGGCCTTGTAGAAAGGTGTGAAATAGCTGGTTATGTATTAAAAGTTGGCTCTTTGGATCAGAAATCCTTGTAGAAAGGTGTAAAATAGCTGGTTATTTATTGAAAGTTGGCTCATTGATGGATCAGAAGTCCTTGTAGTAAGGTCAAAATAGCTGGTTATTTACTGAAAGTTGGCTCTTTAATGGATCAGAAGGCCTTGTAGAAAGATGTAAAATAGCAGGTTATTTACTGAAAGTTGGCTCTTTGATGGATCATAAGTCCTTGTAGTAAGGTGTAAAATAGCTGATTATTTATTGAAAGTTGGCTCTTTGATGGATCAGAAGGCCTTGTAGTAAGGTGTAAAACAGCTGTGTAGTAAGGTGTAAAATAGCTGGTTATTTATTGAAAGTTGGCTCATTGATGGATTAGAAGTCCTTGTTGTAAGGTGCTAGGTTATTTATTGAAAGTTGGCTTTTTGATGGATCAGAAGTCCTTGTAGAAAGATGCAAAACAGTTAAGGGTCAGCAACTTGAGCTTCATGTTCCTCTTGTGAAATGTATTCATCTTTAATATTAATCCATGAAGAAAGTTAACTAAATTGCTGACAATTTTTCTCATTTAATGGCTAAATTATTTTTCAATCCAGTTATTTATAAGGCCTTGTGCATTTAGAAAAAAAAAAAAAAAGATTAAATTTAGTTTCAACCATTAGAGTATTTTTTATGTTAGTGTCGTAATTATATTTCAGCACGTTTATGTATAAGTAACTGAATTAAAAAAACAAAACAATAAATGAATTTGATTTGTTTGATAGGTTGCAGAAATGTACAGGAACCAAGATCAAGTTAAGAACTCTAAGTCCCATGAAGTAAAAGATGATGAAGAATTTTATTAGATATGTTATTCAATGTGTTCATAACTAAGGAGACAAAAGTGTGAATATAGAAATTCATTGGTACTGCCTAATGTAATTTTTCATCTTTATACAGAAGCATAAAACCACAAAGGAGTTGTTGATATTCTAAGGATTCAGCCAGAGTGACTAACATATTAATCTTTTAGTCAGGACATCATGCATGTAGTTTGAAAGAAAGAAGATTGGAATATAATAGATTGTACTTTGTTTTAACAACTATTATGAGTATTTGTGTCTTCCTTTCTTAGCTTAGATTCTACGTAGTTGAAATGAGTAAATGAAACTCTTAATTATTTACAGCATTTTTTTAAATTACCTTATTAAAAATAAATCTTGTAATTGAGGAGAAACTTTTAAGACACGGAACTGTTCGAGCTCTTTTACTGTGATTCTTGTGAGTATGGCAAGAAATGAAATTTTGTTGTTCTTAATAAATTTCAGGTGACCACAAGAAATGGATAATGCAGGACAAGTATAGAAAGAGAAATATAAACTAGGTTGATAACAATGAAATACGTTGTTAAATAGGGTAATTTCACGTAACTAATAATCAGCTGTTATTGTGATTGAATAATTTATGGGATAAAGGTTTAAAAATTTGTATAAAAATATAAACTAGTGAAAGGTGAATTCATCTAGGTAGATTAGTGTGATGTAAAAAGTAAATATATCCTGTTTTTATTTTTAGGAAACTTTCATTCATTTCAGACTTGGTATTGAAAATGTATTCATGAGCATGGTGGTATAACAAATTTATAGCAGCAAAATATGGTGTATGCTAAAAAAAAAGATGTCCCCCCCCATTCAAAATACCACTGATATGTTACCATTTATGTATGAAATTCCTTACATTTATTCAGGAAGATAAAGCTCTTATAAAGATAAAAGAACAAGTTGGCTGCGATAGGAAAGTACAAAAAAAAACCACTAGATTAGATACGCTTGGTGAAGATGCTGAGCTTCTAAAACTGTTCTCGATGATTTGTTCGTATTGAAAAGAACCACATTTTTCATTAGTAGTAACTTAAGTTTTAAGATCATGCTTAGCAATTAAAAGAAATCCTAATATAAAAATCGTACATTTGAACCATTATTGTTATCCACGTACATGAATGACAAGATACATACTTCGAATAATCTATAGGTTTGGTTTTTACATCAATTAACTCAGACTTGTAAGAATGGTGTATGAGAGTTGGAATACACCTAAAGTTAGGTTAGAAACCAGTGTCATTGGTTAATCCAAGAATTTGTCAGTAGTGTTGTAAAAACATTTCACTCGTGTTGCCATAAGCAGCCCGACAGCCGAGTCTACTTTAAAAGTTATTATTGTTATTGCTTAAAGATGCTTCATAAAATTTTGTAAAGATGTATCAGACTAAATTTGCAAATAAAGTATTTTAACGTATACTTTTAAATAGCTAATTACTGTCTGTTGTTAAAAATAAAGTTCTAACTGTGAATACCTTAAAATAATAAATTTATTATTATATCGTTATAGAAGTATGCAGTGCTTAAAATTAGTTAGTTACACTGAAATAAAAAAATTCTTTATATTGTGCTGATCAGTGACAGAGTTCAATATTTCACCAAGATATGAAGTTCAAGTAAGTCTAGGAACTTATAATGCCAAAAATAGGGTTTCAGTGCTCGAGTTGGTAGCTTATACATATTTGTGTAGTTTTGTATTTAACAACTACATTTTGTAATTGACTACAATTGTATAGAAAGTTCATAAAAACAACAGGTTTTGCAAAGTTCTTGACACTTAAGGTTAAATAAGATCATCTGTATTAATTGTTTTGTGGTACAGTAATCATACATTTGAAGCACTTTACAAATACTATATGCATGGATTACAACCAGTATAGTTTTAATAAAACACAGGCCTAGTTCCATCTTGAACAAATTAAAAGATGCTACTAGCCTGAGCATATACTATCATCCAGGTTTTCCTTATTAGTTACTGCCGTAACAGCTAGAATATAATTAATCACCGTTGATCATTATTATAATTACTTTCTATTGAAGCTACTATACAAGGAAATTTTTTCAGCTTTAGGGGTTTTTAAACAGGTGTAAAAATTTATATTATTAATATCTGCAAAATGTAACAAATTTATTACGTTTTACAATGTCTTGTATTCTAAAGATAAAAATATTTTAAGAAAAAAAGCAGGACATCGTGTGATTATGGAGACATCATTTTTAACTCTCTGTATTTCTAGTTGTATAATGTGTTCCATAATAGCTTAATATGTAAAACAAAATAAAAATTTATACCCGAGCTCGATACAATTCACATATTGTTTATTTAATACAACCAATGCGAGAAAATTATTTCACCCTTCAACATGAATTTAAGTTAAAATCAGCCTTAGAAAATTATATAACTATTGTATTTGTTTGTAAGAGTGGTCTCTTCTCGTTCAGTGTAATCTTGTGTTCACCGATTTAATTCACATAACTCTGGCTAGGATGACAGATATTAACAAGTCAGATTATTGTCTATGGAAAACATTTTTAATAAACATAGTTTGTGTACATTAAAAAAAAAATCAAGTTTCGGCATCATTTTGTTTTTTACTTAGTGCAAATTGTATAATACTAATTGGAATATTTACAACATTATACCTATAAAAAATTAAATACAAAAATCATAAAGAACAACTGTATATATTCTATAATTGTTTCAAAACATGTAGTTTTATCTAATACGTATTGAAAAGTTTGTAGTTGTTATTACAAAGTTCCATATAAAAACAATACTGTACTAAAATTACTTAAAAATTCAATTTAACAATTCCTAATTCAAAATGCACATACATACTGGACAGTAATTATGTTATTAGTGTAATATCTTAAGAAAGGTATAGTACACTAGGTTTCTGTCACACTTTTGTTGCTAAATTGTACCCAACTGCTCGAGGTTTTACACTAGTGATTTTGAGATAAACTTGGACATAAATTTGCAGCTTGTAAAAATTAGTTTATAAATTCATATATAGTTGGTGTTTTTCAGGTTACAGTCAAAAGAGAAGTGTACATATCTTTTGTTTTAGACAGAAAAACAGAAACCCTATGATCATTAAAGCATGTTAATAAAGTATAAAATGGAAAACAACCAAACAGAACAATCAAATGCACCCTTTTTTAAGTGGAATTACACTAGTTGATTATAATGTAATATATAAAACAAACAATGTGGTTGAAAAGTTTAGTACCCTATCAACCGTGTTTTCAAGGCTCTTCAACATTAGATCGTTAGTGTTCTAAACATTTTTATATTCAATTATCTTAGATACATTTCTGACACTAATTGTTTAGAATTAAAATGATTACAAATTAACGTTTTTGTTTCATACAACACGTAAAATAAAAATATAACAAAATTGATCTTTATTGCAAATTTTAGCATAATTTTACTTTCTAACCAATTCACGATACTAATCGGAACACTTGGAAAACTGTATTTACAAAAACTGATAAACAAAAAATCACGTAAGGAACATTTAGCACTGAATATGCTGGTGTATGCATTCTGTAATTCATTTCAAAAACATAGATATTTATTTAGAACCTGAAATGCATCAAAAGTGAAATTACGTAATTTATATTTGACTTGATTGTGTAACAATTAGGTTGAAGACAGCTGGTAGATTTTTTATTACATTCCTTGGTAGTGATGAAGGATTGGAACTGTTTTATTTGGCTATTTCCAATACATTCATCAGTATACTTACAGAGAAGAGAGAAAGATACCTTAGCTTGTTACTTTCAAGCTCAATACTCCAATTTTTTGCAAGTTAATTAACTTGTATATATTTACATACAATGAAACGTATATTGTACTTGTCAGAAAAGGATCATATAGCTTACACGAACATATCAATTTTACTATTTTTTAAAAAGAAAATATGAAATACATCTTATATTGACTGATTCACTGTTCTTATGACTTATTTAAATACATCCATACCTAAGTTCAACTTAATTATTTGTTATGCATGAACAAGAAATAGAAATAAATAACAGTACAGATAAATGTTAAAAATTTTTTAAACACAATATTAGTATCCAAGGAAATGTAGATAAACCTTATGCTATTTAATTTGGTGAACTTTTGTAACAAGTTTAGTCTATTAAGAAGTATGTATGAAACTGTACATACACAGGTCTGAAAAGTCTGGAACCACAGGTGGTTTACAGCTTTTCTTAATCTCAGATACGTGACTGATTATAGCACTGTTCAAGCATGGGAAGGTCAAGTTAATCCAAACTTGTTTCAAATTACGAGGACAGTAGGTGGAACACGTTATGTAAAATTTGTTAAAGTACGATGGTTCGAAAGTTTTCAGATACCGTATATTACCAAATTTAAAACACCCAAGTTACACATTACTACCATCAGTGAGCAGTTAAAATCAAACAACAGATTCACGTAGTACTTTTATTATTAATAATGTCAACTACATTCTGTTGTTGTTCTTTTACAAATCTCGGGCATTGTTATATGAAAGAGCTTAGTCTGAGTTAAATGAGAAATGTGTTTTCTTGTAAACAATTCGCAAAGATGCTCATTAGATGCAGTGCAAGTATAGAAACAAATACAAACATCTTCACATTTAAAATAGGAGGTTCTTTTAAAATGTTTTCCCCCATTTCTTGGAATACTTATTGAAAACTAAGTATAAAAAGTTGCATGTAAATTCATGTTTAAGTTACTATCAATACAAATTTCTGTAACTGCTAAACTTTAAAATCAAGTATGTAAAACATTATTAACATTCTATTTTCAACTGGTCATGAAAAGCTGTCGTTAAGTTAAGCAAAATCACATAAAAAGGATATATTAATTAAAAGCATATTTTACCTTATGCAGTCAATATATAATCGGCTGTTTACAATTCTAAAATTAATATCTGATATTTATATTTCTATACTTTAATATACTCGAATTTCCTGAATGCTTCTATACTCACTATAGTTTTCACAAAAAACAAACGTTGGAACTATACTTCAACTAACCAACAAAAGGATGAAAACATAGAGTTGACACAGCATAATTTCCATAAAACATGTTATTAACATGACAGCTTTTGCACCCAAAAATATTTGAATAAAAATTTGGAATAATATTTTCAGTCAACTCATTCCTCTGTTAAAAGAAAACCAAAGTTAATAAGTATCAAATATAATATTTTTTACACTGAATAATACATATCCATTATTTTCACGAAAACTTAAAAGGTGTAATTTTCAATTACTCATTAAAAATACTTTTATGACTCGCCAAAAATCTATTTAGAAGATTGAAAGAGTATGAAACATAAAACTTAAATAAGCATACAAATGAAATTGAGTCAATGTATTGAACAGTTTCAAATTTTATGTTATTTTACTTATAACAATAAAGTTAAAGTATTATTTTAAAACACATTTTAACAGTTTCAAGTCAACAGCCAGGGCTATCAACTAGCAAGTCTCACAAGACATTGAAAACATCTTTAGTTTTGACAATCATGCGTCACATGTTCAGTAACTTAAAGATTCAGCCTGTTGGGTTGGTGCTAAATAAGCATTCAATCATTTCATACATGATTACGAGTGTGTATTACTGAAAATGTCAGAAGCTAAGCTTTTGCTTGTTCTGTGGTTGTATGTTAATACTGGAAATAATGCAGAGCCTTAATGTTCCTCAGGTTACATCTTTTCTAACATCATCAGTATGTTAGGCTCAATAACAACAGTTTTTAGTTGAACAGTCAAATTACAAAATCGATAAGCTGGCACTGCACATGTATAAAAATCTGAATTAAACACACTGTTTGTAAGTTAAATAAGGGGGTATTATTTTAGGACTTTACAAATAAATAAAGAACTAAAAAAAAAATTTAAATCAGTTCTGGTTTTCTTTGAGCTTGTAAATTGCTATATTATGAACATTCCTCAGATGAACCTGCATACTTCCAAACTGAATGAATCCTTTTCCACACTCGGTGCACTCTAACGGGTATTCATGGGTATGTCTAGCAATCTCATGGCTTCGAAGTGCGCCGCTACTTTTGAAACTTTCATCACAGTGAGAGCATTTATATGGTCTTTCCCCTGTATGTGTTCTCTGATGACGGGTTAAAACATTATGATAAGCAAATGTTTTCTCACAGTACGGGCAGCGGTAGGGCTTCTCCTTGTTGTGGATCCTCATGTGAATGTTGATGTGTGCACGTTGTGTAAACCTTTTGCCACACACTTCACAAACGTAAGGTTTTTCTCCCGTGTGTATAAACGTATGATTACGTAAGCTACTCCTCTCTGTGAACCCCTTTCCACAATAGCTGCACTGATATGGCCGTTCATTTGTGTGAATTGCTACATGGTTACGAAGATCTGTTGCCCTATTTGTAGAATACTTACAATGAGGGCACCGAAAGCGCCGATTTTCTGTCTCATTTCGATGTATTTTCTTATGACCTTCCAACATTTTCACGGATGTAAACAGTCTACCACATTTATCACAGGGGTAAGCATCCGCAGAAACCGAGAAATTGCTTTTATCTTCGTGTTTCTGCTTTTCCACTGCAGAAGATGTGGTTGGAATGTTTGGGTTATCAGGATCGTGCACTGCTATGTAGTGTTTCATGAGATTATTTGTGCAAGCAAATCCTTTATCACAAATGGAGCAATGATAACGTTTATCTCCAGCATTGTTTATTCTCCTAACAACCAATTCTTGCTTATTAAGCTTAACATTTTTACCCGAATGCACAGTGGGAATTCTTGTTTCGTGAGATTTCATATGATTGGCCAGGCTCGAGTCTTTTCTGAACATACTTCCACAAATACTACATATAAGTGGCTGGATCTTGGCATGAGTTTGTTGGTGTTGGCGGTGATGAACATCTGTTTTAAAACCTTTGCCACACTCCAAACATTTGAAGGGTCTTTCATCTACTTGGTTATCCTGATGAACAGAAAGATGAGATAAAAACTCGGAGAATATGCTAGTATTAAAACCACAATGGGAACACCTGTGTTCCTGAGAACTTTCACTATTACCGTGCTGTCTTCTGTGGTGTTTTAAGCACTCCTCTGAAATAAACAACCTCTTACAAAGCTCACACTTGTGCATTTCAACATCAGTTACTGGTTGTTCATCCAAGATGTTGTCAGTTTCTTCATCCATCTCTCCTGGCTCACATAAAGTATTTACGTGCTGAATAACTTGATTTTCATTACTATTCTCCCAAGGCTGGGGCTTCGTCCTTTTTTCTAAATGACTTATAGAATCTTTACTGTTGTCGTCTTCACTACTAGTGTAATTATATAACTGACTCTCATCATCCGTCTCTGACATATTTTCTCCGTTTAATTCTTTTGCATTAAACAACAGTTTATTGCTGGATGATATCTCAAACAGTTCATCAGTTTCTTCTCCACTCAACTCTTCATTATCTATTATTTATAAAAAAATACTATAATGATATAAAAATTGTCTGTATTTTAATTCTTGTAAGTTATCCAAATATGCAAAACAGAATTCCAAAAAAATTCTATAAAAACAAAACACCAGCTATAACCACTAACCATAACATAAAATAATACTTCATTATTCCTTAAACCAGTTACCTAAGCAAGGATATTTACATTTACCACATGGAGTTTTGAAATGTCCACTGAAATATGCTAGTAAGGGCACAACCGCTTCAGGGTTAATCCCGACACTACTAGTACTCGCTAGAAGACGAATATAGTTAAAACTTGGATCTAATATCTCACAAATAAACACAAACAATTCAAGCAACTATATTATGTTTGTACCAACAATGGAACACCTGTGCACATTTGGAATTTTGGTGAGATACTAAGTTGTGTGTTCATTCCTGAAATCAATGGAGTTCATTAATGTTTTACAGACTAATTCACGTAATTAGGGTGGGCACTAGTTCTGTAACATCTTATTGTATTAATGTGACAATAACAAAATTAAAAAACTCATTTCTTTGCCAAAAATGATTTGACTTTGTTTACCTCTACATAAAACAAGTTATACTACAATCCTGTAGCTATGGGTAACACCACCATTAATTCATATGAAAAGCTTCAGGTACAAAAAATGTATTTTTCATTTATAAAACCAATGTTTAGCTGTAAAAATGGTGTGAATCCTTTGCTTGGAAATAAACTTATTTGGTGTCTGTTCAAAAGTTTACATTTTTCATCCAAATACAATGAGTTTAGGAGTTCTTTCCTAATACAGGCTAAAATGTGAAATAACACAATCATATAAGCATTTTAGAGATTTATAATACAAGCTAAAAAAAACCTGAAGTACCCAACAAATGCAAAATTGGTCTTGTTTACTTCCTTAATTCGTTTTATGTATATGGAATTGGTCAATTAAGTTTATTTTTATTACCTGAAGTTTGTGTTTTAGAATTAATGGTATTATGTAATGTTGTATAGTTTGTATCTGTTGTACATTAGTTAGGTGAATATGTAACAAACGTCAAGGTTGTAACAAAGCATACTGTACTGATTTCAGTTTTTTACCATCAATAACTACTGGAACATAAAGTTTAATAAATTTAAAAACTTATTACTGTATATTGTTACTATACTTTTTATGACAGAAAAAAAAAGTACCATTAATTCCTTCAAAATACCAATACAGGTTGCTTGTAAAAATAAATTTAATTAATTGTTTTTCATGTGGTAATGAGATAGACCTTTTAATAAAATTATGATACAATTATTATTATTACCAAAGAATTTTCGTAAATTTCAGAATTAACATGTACATTTAACTTTCAGAATTGTATGGGTAGGTAACACGGGCATAATATTTCTACTTATCTAGTAGCTGCACTGTTACAGTAAAGAATACATCCAAAACTTAGAAAATGATTATTATTTTTCGAATTGAATTATATGATCTTGATTTTGTGCAGAAAACTTATAGGAAATAACATACAAAATCCACCCATTACCTTTGGAACCTCTGTGATAAATCTTTTTGTGACACATCAGGAAACTGGTTGAAATAAACAGCTTACTACATATTTCACACTTCAGAGGTTCCGAAGTCTGCATAATTCCTTGTTTCTTTTTAGGACCACCAGGAATATAGTTCTTGGAAGGAAAAACTTCCACTTCATTTATAGGGATTTCTTTTACTAAGGTCACCATATTGAAAGTTTTTATGTCAAAATCAATAATCAACAAATGTCCCGAGAAGTGAGTGATTATTTCTAAGAGCTGAAATAAAAACAAGAAAACATCTGTGTAATAGGACTGCATATACATGTATATGAATATATTACTTACACAAAAGTAATCAAAAACATGGTTTTTTTGAATGTATGAAATAAAAAGAGGCAACAACAAATGTCCTGAACTCAAATTCACGAACCTACGTGTTAGCTTATTAGCCATATTTTTCAGTAACTCCAAACTTTAAATTTCTTACACCAAAATTCCATAGCAATCTACCAATGAAGGAAAATGAAACCATGAAATAACATAACACCTCTCTTCATGATTAAGCTGTATTTGTATCACATTAAAAACCTTCAAAATGTCTACCACCATTAGCAAGGCATCAGTAACATAATATACTTAATGAAAAAAATCATATGCAACAGAAATAATCTTTATTCAAGGATTTGCTATGGCTAACCCTGCACATCAACTTTTTTCGTAAGACAACAACCATATCAGATAAAAGCAAACAGTTATAATAATCGCAGTAGCAACGAAAACATAAAACAGGTTCCACCAGCAAGCTGGAATTGTCAAAAAAGTTTGTTGCTTTGACATTATACGTGCCAGCTTCATAGTTAACTTCTTATTCTTATTCATAGAAATGCTTTTTCTCGTTCTATTCTTTACTGACTTTGGTACATGAATTATATTCAGTTAAGGAGTACAGTGTATAGAGAAACAGCCACCATGAAATAACTAGTATTTTGTAGTAACTTGATAACATTCTATAAGTTCCATAATCTAAAATTAATTCAAAATCTTACAATTTCTACAGGCTTATATTAGCCTTTGTTGTTTCTTCATGTTCAATCCATAACTTAAAGAGGTGATTTATTTCTAAAGAATTTTAGACTATCAATGAAATAAATTACAGGTTCTCAGCTTGGAGTCGACAAAAAATTAATGAAAGGTTTTAAGAACATAATAGTTATTTATTCGTTATATACAATTCAACATATACTATTGCCCCTAGTACTTTTTAACAGATCTATTCTAAAATCAGTCTACTACACAAGGAGATTGCTGTCACTGTCAGATTTATTTCAGGGTTAGTGAAGTGTCAAAAAGGTGTGCAGAGCTGAAATCCACTATTTGTTATTTGTATACAAAGCTTGAACAAAGCCATAACTTTGTTAAATATCAATAAAGTGAACACACACACTATAGCTCCTTATTAATATTTATAATATTAAGTACGCAAACCACAGTTATTACTTTGCCAATCACGATATATAATGTGCAAGTCCAAAAAAATGCAAACAAATGTCACCAATATTGCAATTAATCTTGCTAATTACTGCTGGGATTCCTACGCATTTCATCTAGCAAATGCTCAATTCTACCATATTCTTTTGTCAGGTCTTTACTATCAGTAGTGTACCATACATAACTATAAAGTTAAAAATACTATATAAGATGCAATTTGTGAACCACACGTGTAAACATTATAACTATTATTATTATTAATATTATAAAATTTAAGTTCCAAAATTAACCTAAAAGTTAAAGTACAATTCTAACCACGGCAGTGCATACAATTACAAGTATAACGTATTGCCTTCATTTTATATTCACTGTGTTATATAGCCTTTGCTTTACATAAAAATAAACAAAACAAAAGGTTACACAGCAGTCAAGAGCCTAACTTCTTCCTTAAGTTTTAAGCCTAAAAAAACTTATTTAGTGTACAGTAAAGTGCTCAAGACGTTAAACAAAATGAATATTCTATTTTCAACATAACACTACCAGCTCTTAATGCTTATTACTCACACACAAACATGTCAAAACAAATAAACCTTGGCGTCTTTCAAGAGTTAAATAAACATTTGTGTTAGAATACAAATTTATAATATTCCTGCATGAGAATATTACTTTGTAGCATACATATGAGCCTGCCACCTATTGGAATAACTAAATTTCATTCATTTTAAGTTGGGGCCATAGTTTTTTAACCCTAATATTACTGGTGGGTCCATCGGCTTCTAAACATATATTTGTAAATTATATATCCACCAATTTTTTTTTGTTGATTCATTATTATATTGGGTATAGAATTTTTAATAACATATGACTCACACACACAATTCAAACAGAAATACCGTGAAAATTGCAATAAATTTCACTAATTACTGTTGCATTTTCCTAAGTACTTTATATGTAAAATAAATGAAATTACCCCATTTCCGGATCATTTCTTTAGACTAGTGTTATAACAGACCAATAAATGACATTACTTTTATATATGCAATATGTGGACTCCACCAGTAATGAGCGATATGTAAAAAAAGTAGAATTCAAAAGACCCAGAAACTTCAGCGTTTTCGAATAATTGATTATACTTCTTCAGGAATAAAAAAAAACTTGTATATTATACATAAATAAACCAGTATTTAAGAGTATATATATGTTTCAGAGTTTTTCAGTATCATTTTTTAATTTATCTTGATTACTACACGTGTGTATCACGTGTTTTCATTTGATAGGATAGAGCAAAAGATATTTGATGCACTTAGAACTGTCAAAGTTAGATTTTTTAGACCAATCAAAGGGCGTGACATAGATTTGAAATAAACAAGAAATTCTAGAAGCAATAGACAATGTCCAACCTTTCTTTTATCTACTTTTTTATGGGTTGCTAAGGCAATTAGAACAACATTTTTAAACAGTAAAGATCCTTTAGAGTCCTGACTTAATCTTGTCGAGCCTAGAAGCTAGAGAGCTCAACTCGCAATCTGCATTTCACGGGATCGAAACTCATTGTCGAATATGACTGCCCCTTCAGCCTTGAGAGCATTATTATGTGACGATCAATTCCGATATTCGTGGATAAAAGGATAATCCAAGAGTTAGTGGTGAGTGATGTTGACAAGTAGCCTTACCTGTAGCCTATCACTTCAAAATTAGGGACGCTTAATGCAAATAGCTCTTAATTAGTTTGCGTGAAATTAAACAAAAACAAAGAAAAGTAATCTTTTCGAGTCCTTATAAAGTTGCAATCAGTTTATTATTAACAGGTTTTAATCCTATAATGCTTGGTAATTTTTAGCTCGCATGCAGAGATTACCTCTTTTGTATTTCTACTAAAAAGTATCTTCTTTTTTCAAGTTTTTTCTCTTGTGCTTTAGTGTTCGTCTTTTTATTCTTCTTTTTTTTACGCTGGACAGAAGAGATGTTTCTCTGTAATATTACAATAAGTTAGAAGTTTAATACTCCTTTAAATACATAACACAGCACCCAGTTTAATTTAGTGGTAATGAATACCGTTAGAAGTTTACTTATTTAGTGGTTTAGTTGAGTTTGTTTGTTTGAAGTTAAGCACAAAGCTACAGAATGGGCTATCTGTGCTCTGCCCACCACACGTATCGAAACCAGATTTCTAGCGCTGTAAGTCCGCAGACATTCCGCTATGCCACCGGGGAGCTAATGGTTTAGAGTAAATGTTTAGTTTGTTCTTTAGCGTTAATATTTAGTGGATTATTGGGTTATTAATTGGAATTTGAGTTAGTATAATCTTGTTTAATGTTACGAGTTGATATATAGGTGTAATTTGTTTAAAAATTAAGCCGATAATAATGTTTTAGCAGTACACTTAAGCTTTTGTTAATATTTGACCAAAGAATTTCTTATCATTGGAGTGGGAGCTTCCAGTTAACTGGCCGGGACTAACATAGCGTAACAATATAATAACAGTGCTATCATTTAGTTGTAGTGTTAATGATAGTGTTATCATTTAGTTGTAGTGTTAATATTAGTGTTATCATTTAGTTGAAGCATTAAAGCGGTTTTCTGGAAATGTTTTAATATATATTTCATATCGCATAAATGAAAATAATCTGTTCTTTCCAGACTTGGTTTATTTTCTTTAGTTACATACAACACCAACTTACCATTTTTTCCCAAAATCTTCATCCGTGGATTTGGGATCTAGTTTAATCGCATAGAGACCATATTGATTCAATTGACTTGATAGGGATATTACAATAATAACAGCTCAATTACAGTAGAGGAACACTCCAAATAAAATGAAATTACAGTCATAGTAATCAGAATAACACACAGAATATTACTTTAGATAAAAGAACGGTTATTTTTTTATGGAGCAATAGGTCGTGTTTTATTATCACTAAATGAAAAACAACAACAACAAAATTCCACAGTCATTAAACTCTCAAAATTAACTTGCTGTTATGAAGTATTTCCATCAAGTTAGTTGAGGATAGGAAATACATACTCACATTATAACATTTAAGGTTCAAGTTTACTTCTTCTGTAGTTATGAAAGTAAACCAATTACTTAGAGTATCGTTTCTGCTGAATGTCAATTTTTTTTTATATAAACGTTCACGCCGTACAGAAAAAAAAAGAAGAACAAAAAAATTCGTTTAGATGCATGACTTAGCAATGTGCTTTCTGTAGATAATCTAAAAACTATTTATAATCCCCCTCCCAAGAAAACATTCAGTATTCCCAAGAAATAGATGAAAGAATAAAATAAAATAATTATAAAAAAGAACAGTAGTATGTTATGGTGCTCTTATCCAACCACAAATATATCATGGTTTCTTTTTTCTAAATTTCGCACGAAGCTACTCGATGGTTATATGCGTTAACCGTCTCTAATTTAGCAGTGAAAGGCTACAGAGAAGGTAGCTAGTCAACACCACCCACCGCCATCGCTTCGGCTACTCTATAACCAACGAATACTGGGATTAGCCGTCACAATATAAAGCCCCCTTGGACGAAAAGGCGATCACGTTCGGTGACGGGGATTCGAACTCGCGATTTGAGCGCCTTAATCCCCAGGTCATCATATGTGTTACAGTTCTGATCTTTTATAAATTTTAAGAAGGAACTAGAAAATGCTGGTGTCTTTGGATAATTTCTTAATTTATTTATAGCATTATATATTTTGATACGAATATGCATTTGAAAACATAACTTTTTTGTTTAATTTTGTAGTTTTTACATCGAATTGGAAAGTTCATAACCATGCT